CCAATATGCGTTTTTGCAATTTGCATATAGGCAAAAACGCATAACAACCATTCATGCAGTTAATGATCTGAGTACTTCAAGTCCTGTGCAAAAACGCATGATCGCTTGGGCCCGCCCGGTGCGTTCCAGCCTGGGTTTGAAAATGACGCAGCCGTCTAATGAGTAATTTTCCCGCCAATAATTCAAGTGCCTGTGCACAAGAACTACGCGTACAGGGGGTGAATTTGAAACCTCTAAGTTATATTTGGATGGGGAATGTTCTCCAAATTCTCGGCTTTTCAGCTTTTCTGGTTCCCGAGTTAGCAATTTTCCTGCCAAAAAATTTCACAGGGCCGTTCATGAGAATCACGTAAGACTCGGGGCTAAATTTGATAGGTTTATGCTGTACTTGTGTTGTGAATATTTCTTGAAAATTTCAGTCTTCCAGCTTCCCTGATTCTCAAGTTAGCGATTTCCGGGGCCAGGAATTCTCACGGGGCTATACGCGGGAGGCGTGCGTATCTGGGACTGAATTTGAAATCTTTGAGTTTTGTGTGGACGGGAAGCATAATCTCTAAAGTTCAGCATTCTAGCTTTTCCCGTACCCGAGTTGGCAGTTTTCCCGCCAAAACTTTTATCCTCTCGTAGCGAGGTTCAGACGGGGCAATTCTATTGTTCATTTGCTTCTTTGAAGTAGCCGAATTTACAGGAAAGTATTCAGTTAAATAGAAGTTTTAGAGAAATTCGAATGAATATTCCAGAATGCGTCGATGCATTTCCTGCATTCTGCTCATCGTTTTCCTTACTGAATTGCTCCGATCCATCTGTTCGAATGCATCTTTGTCCCAAAACATGTGGATCCTGTGGTACTACTACGGAGCCGACTACACAATACGAAACAACAATAACAATGCCTGAAACGAAGACAGACGGTAAGAAGCAAATTCAAAACACAATTCAAAGAACAAAATCAGAATCACATCCCTAAGACAAAAACTTAAACGCAGTTCTAAACATATTTATTTCATTCAACTGTAAGCCGAAAATGCCAAGCTAATAAGCTTTTGAATATCGGCAGGAACCACTCTGTAGCGACAGTTCAAGGGAATCGTTATAAATTTTGGATTTCGCAGCTTGTAAAATGCGTAGAAAATGATAATTTGGAGCCGAAAGCGAACATCCGTAAATTTACAAACCAAATCTTTTAAAATGTACAGCACTGGGCATGATGCGTGTAGGGGATCCCACGAAATGTGATTCTTGAAATACAGAAAACCGTAGGCGTTGGTCACAACTGATGCAGGATGTGGTCCAGCCATGTCGAGTAACTTCGGGATAGAAAATTTTGCATTTTCTCAGGGTTTCGCTAACTCCGATTGCCTTTTTCTTTCACAAAAAGAGAAGACGGAGAGAATTTAAACCACCACCTGAATTCTGAAATAACTGGACGAGAAGTCTGAAGGGATACTGGAACGCCTCTGCGAATTGTTTGTAAACCTCTCTATTGCAGTTTGTTCGACGGGCGCTGATTGCTGGGTAACGAAAATTTGCGTTAATCCAAACGATACTGCAGTCGGTGGAATCTGTGTTCTAACTTAATCCTAACTGAGATTTTAGCAAGCATGTCAACACCGGCTACAACAACCGCTGAAATGCTTACAACGACAACATACGCAACAACCACAGCACCGTCAACCACGTCCTCCCCTAGTTCAGGACCGCTAGACACGTCTGCAACAAGCACGACCTCGTCAGACATGCCCACAACCCCAGCAACATCGACCACATCAACAACAACCACGTCCACAACAACCACTACAACATCTCCAGTTTTTGCTGCAAGTAAGTTTTCGCCAACTATTTTCCACGGAAGAAACAGCAGCTTTGTGTCCAGCTAAATAGTACCGATCTTAACTCCAAAAAACTTTATCGCCTTAGCGAAAATAGCAATTTCCAAAAACTTGCTCGGCTTAGGTCTGTGTTTTTTTGGTTTGTTTATATATATATGTATTTTTTTTTGGTCTGCCTATATATATATATAACTTTTTTTGGTCTGCCTATATATATATAGGCAGACCAAAAAGTATACATATATACGCCTGTATATATGTATATATACACATATATATATAGGAATTTAGTCTGCCTATATATACATGTATGCATTTAGTCTGCCTACATATATGCATATATATAAGTAGACTAAAATCACACATTTTCTTACAAGCACTAGCAGGCGTGGTTGGCTGAATGTTGACTTCTGCTTTCAGCACCGCCATTCTTTGGTGTTGCTGTAGCGATGTTCTGACTGCGGCAACATCTGGACCAACTGAAGGTAGTTTTCTGAGAGTTTTTAATCAAAAACACACAAATGAAAAAATTTTCTTCTACCTACACACATACAGAACACACATCATATGTGACTAATCTGCAGCACACATACACAGGGTATTGTAAAGTTCCTGCACCACATTAATCAACTGTGCAAAATGCATAGTAAACGAGTAGATTGAACGACCGGCCAGTCATTTCTTCGTTCCTTTGCACTAGCCCCCCAACACTTGGTAAGGTTGTACCCGGTGCCGTAATATCGCCGTTTCCACATTCACTGTCAAGGAGGATCTTGGTATTCTTGACACGAGATAGCTCCAAGTTCTATACTTTTTTGTCTATAACAGCAGGCTTTACAAGAAAGTGCGCAATTAAATCAAAATTTTGAGAGAAACCAAACTCGAATGAATATTTCTGGATGCGCCGACGTGCTTTCCACACACTGCTCATCATTTCCTCCCCCAAATTGCACTGATCAATTTATTCGAACGCGTACTTGTCCCGAAACATGCGGTTCCTGTAGTATTACTACGGTGGTGACCACATCGTACGGCACAACAACCACGCCATATGAAACAACTACCACGCCGCATGACACAACAACCACGACATACAACACAGTGACGACAATTGCAAAAACAAAGGCGGACGGTAAGAAAATAGCACAAAAACAGAATTGAAAGCACAATGTAGGTGTAAAGGAACAACAGCTCAAGCAGTTAACCTAACAACTTCAAGTTTGGTGCAAAAACGCATGATCGCACAGGTTCTCCTGGTGCGTTACAGCCTGGGTTTTAGCTAAATAACCACGCCTTGAAATGTTAAGTGAGTAGAAGCTAAAATATGCAGGTTAACTTGGCTGAGGAAGCGCTTTATTTTCTTTATGCAAACAAAATGATTCACAGACAGTTTTAAGTTTTTTTTTTTTTTTTTTTTTTTTTAAGACGTACGAAAAACTGTGTTCTTTGTCCTGCATCCGGACATGCTCTATGGCACTCAAATGCAAGCGCGCTTCTGCACACTGAGATAAGAAAAAAAGGCGTTTATCAGTGAGCAACGCAGTCATTTTTTAAAACATATGTAAATATTCAAAAAAATGTTAGAGACTTTTTAAAGCATAAATGCTAACAAAAAAGCATTTTTAATCCTAACGTTATCATATTTACATGTGCTCATACTTGTATATATAAGCGGACAAAAAACCCACATTTCCTTGCAAGCATTAGCAGGTATGCTCAGCGGAATTCTGACTTCTGTTTTTGGTACCGTCACTCTTTTTTGCAGCTGTAGCGCTGCTCTAGCATCTGGACCAGATGGAGGTAATTTTCTGAGATTTTTTAACCAATAACTTGCCGATGAAAAAGTCTTTTCAAAAATAAACACACATATATGCGGCACAGATACTTGTTTTCGCATCACGTTAAATAATCACACCAAAAGCATAATAAGTGGGTTAAATAATCGGCCAGTCATTTTCGAAGTATTTGTACTAAGGGTTAAGGAATATTTCTACGAATTGAAGCTTGCTCGACTGTTGTTGATTGCTCGGTATGCGTCAATCCACTCGATACTGTGGGTGGTGAACTCTGTGCTTCAGCTTACTCTAACTGAAGCTTCGGCAAGCATATCAACGCCAGCTACAACACCTGTTGTTGATACAGTGACAGCATGTACAACAACCGCGACGCCGTCAAACACGTCCTCAACAATTACTGTGGCACCGGTCACGTCTACAACTGACAAGACATCGCCCATACACTTCCACAGCCACAACAACATCGGCCCCACATCCTCGTCAGCCACGACTTCGACAAACTTAGTTACAGTAACCGAGATATCATTAACCACGACCACAACAAATACAATATCATAAAACACGTCAGTAACAACTACGACATCATCAACAACGTCTACAGCAACCACAACGTCTAAAACAACACCGAACCCATCCACGTCATGTACAACAACACCGATCACAAACACGCCAACTACAACAGTAACTCCAGCCTGGAATGCAACTAAACCGACAATGCCCCCAGCACATGCAACAAGTTTGGGCTCAGTTTTACGATTCCGATCTTCACTCCAAATAACTTTATTACTTTGTCGAAAATAGCATTTCCTAAAACCTGGCTTGGTTTAAGTCCCAAGAAGTAGTGAATAGAGGGGGAAACAGAGGTAATGACTGGCAACGAGCTTGGAGGTGATACTTGGTGACAGTAAGGTTGAGATTATGAGGCGGAGGAGAAGGAGGGCACATGTGTTTATAATGCTAAGCAAGCAGCTCGATCAGCAAGAAAGCTAGAAAGCTCGCACACCAAAATTTTAGTGGAAGAAAATATCCTGCATTTGTGTATGGGCATGCTTCTTGTTGAGTGCATGCAAACACGCGAATGTATACAAATTGTGCGGTCTAGCCGAGCCAAGTTTTGTTCATTACTTATAAATTCCTCTTCAGCGAAACCGTTAGATCACGTCAGTATAGTGTGCATGGTGTTGTTAGTGAAAGACAGCGGAAGAAGGATAGAAAAGAAAAAGGCGGTGAAATGTAAGTAGCGAAATGGGACATTTGCCAACGCGCAGTTGGAGGGCCAACTACGAACTACAGCTGTTCAAGGAGTCATCGTTAAAAATTAGTACTAGCGATTTCCATTCTTACTCGCATCAAATGCTCTCCCTGTGGTTACCTTTGGGAGATGAAACGTAGACTGCGGCTTTACCTTACATCAGAATATGTAATTTTCGAACGATTATAGAAAATAAATTTGTAACCGATGAGGCTGTTTTACAGGATGTCAGCGAGGATGGGACTGGTATTCAGCCGATAACTTGTGCTACTATCCGGTGAGCTGAATTTTTGTCAGCAGCCTTCTGTGATGCACTATCTTACACTATGCGTCTTGGCCTATTAAAAGCAGGCATTTTCATGTGTGTAACTCTTGCAGTGAACTACCATTATCAGGTCTTCTCGCGTTTTCCAGAACTCCGCTTTCAAGATCCACTTCAAAACAAAATTAACTGATTCGAATTCACAGGGCGTGCTCTAGTGTTTACTGTATCTAGGTTCTGCAGCTATGTTTTTAACAATTTTTCCCGCATGAACAAGTCTGCATCCTCTGGAGGGCAATCTTCTGAACGTCTCTACCATGCAAGGCATATTTTTTCTCGTCATTTTCAAGTATGCTTATTTTTTAGAATACACTTGTTCTAAAAAATCTTAATTGCGATTCAGATTTATGGATACATGTCGTACAAGGAGGCTTATCAAAAATGTTTTGCTTTGAATGCATCTGTTGCAGCACCCAAAGATGCAGCGCAAGATGCGTTTATACGAAGTAAGTTTACATTCAGTAGTTAATGAGCAGAACGAAATCTATATGATAAGAAAGCAATAAAGGTATCCAAGTAGGTGTCAGGAAGGTAACAATATCACGATTTTTAGCAGTGCATTATTTTCGGGACCTGTTGCTTTTACGCTTCAAGCCAGTAAAGTCTTAAAGTTTTTTGAACCGGCCAGATAATGAAAAATATTGAAGCCACTTGTGTCACTCTTCTCGAAAATTAAAACGCTTGCCTTTGTTTGAAATGGGCCCATCTTGGTTATTCCCATGGGGATTGCTATAATGAAGTCTGTAAGCTTGTCTAAGATCAATAACTCTGTAGTAAATGACTAATTAAAATCTAAATGCGAGATCTGCAGCTTTGACCCTCGCATTATAGAATTATTTTAAATATGAATCCAACAGCAACGCCGTGGCATCAAAATTCCACCCGAGTTTTTATGTGTTTTTACGATGCATCGCTAGTGCGTTGCAAAAGGCAGCAAAAACGCATATTGTGACTGCCTGTGTGCATGTGTTTGTGTGTGTTTGTCTGTCCTGATATTTCTACAAGCTTTTGGCGCTGAAAACAGGCAAGCTTTGATGTTGAAATTTCGTCAGTTTTCTTCCTGGTCAGTGCAACCCAGAATGCGATATCAACCTTCATGCACTTCTATTTTTCACATTCAGACAAGTGAAATTTTTTTCGTGAGCACGACCAGCTCGGAACGAGAAAGGCTAGAAAACTGTACTTTTTAGAAAATGTTCCTTATTCATATGAGAGCAAAAGATTACAAATTCATCCTTCAAACAAGTTTGCGCCGTGAATTTTGACAACTGGGAGAAATAGAAAAGCGAGAAAGCTGATTTTTACGCGTTTTTGCTGTGCAGCGCTATAGCAGTGCGCTATAGCGCTGCTACAGCTAACAAAAACATATTTTCGAGAGGGTGTGTGTGTGTGTGTGCCGAAGCGAGTGCATTTTGTCACCCACTTTCATCTCAGCAACCAGGAAAGCTGGGAAGCTGAACTTTGGATGTATGTTCCTACCCCGCGTGTCATCCTCCCGTTTTAAGATCTTTCCCCATACGCGCTTAGACCCCGCGTAGAGGACCCCCAAAGAAATATGTTGGCGGGAAACGATTTCGCGAACCAGGCAAGGTAGAAAGCTGAAACCCCGCAGGGATATTCTCTATGCGCGTGCGAGCTAAAAATTTTAAACTCAGCTATCGAACCCCCCAACCACCGTCTTAAGTAGTTCCTCAACTCAAAAATCGTTTGCAACTCGGACCTGAACCGTAATCATATGTGTTTTGACAAGCGACCGTTCGAGCAACATTTCCAATTTTTTATGCGTTTTTGCATTTATGTAAATTGCAAAAACGCATATTGGGAAGAGGCTGTCTGT